CAACCTGATCGGCAAGCTTGATGAATCAGTCAATCCCCCGCCAACAGCAACGCTACGTGATCTCCTGAGGTATAGTTGTCCCCCTGACTTGGCTGAGTCGCTAACCCGTGTTCCTTCCCCTGATGAAATCAAGCAGGTTTTGATGTCTATGCCGAGAAATAAGGCATCAGGGCCCGATGGATTCCCCAAAGAATTTTTCCAAGCAACTTGGGCTGTTACGGGATCGGATCTGACTCGATCAGTGCTACACTTCTTTGAGTATGGTCAGCTGTTGGGACAAACTAATGCCACTATTATCTCGTTGGTGCCTAAGAGGGCGGGAGCAATGAGATTATCATAATTCCGACCGATTAGCTGTTGCAATACAACGTACAAAATCATATCGACGCTGCTAGCCCAACGCCTAAAACCAATCCTTCAAGAGATCATCTCTCCCAACCAGACCGCATTCTTAAAGGGGCGTTTAATGATGGAGAATATTCTGTTGGCCACTGATTTAATCAGAGAGTACAATCGTAAGAACACGACAGCAAGTGCTATGGTCAAGATCGATATCCGAAAGGCTTTCGACACCCTCTCCTGGGACTTCCTCTTGAGAGTGTTAAGGGCTTTACACCTACCTCCACGCTATGTTAATTGGATCAAAGCGTGTGTCACAACACCGAAGTTTTCAGTGGCGATTAATGGGGAATTAGCTGGCTATTTTAAGGGAAGGAAGGGGTTACGGCAAGGTGATCCGTTGTCTCCGTATCTCTTTATCCTGTCAATGGAAGTATTATCAAGGATGTTGGATCAAGGGGCAGCTTGCGGTAGAATCCAGCTCCATCCGCGGTGTTTCCAGCCTAGCATAACACATCTCTTGTTTGCTGATGATGTTATGATCTTTAGCTCCGCCGATAACCGCTCCCTCCAGCAGGTTATGCTTATACTACAGGATTTTGGCAGGGGCTCGGGGCTTGTAATGAACCAGAACAAGTATGAAATATTCCTGGGGTGCGTTAGCGAAGAGACGGCTGACTTAATAGCTGCGGAGATAGGCATCAACCGTGGAACTTTACCAGTTAAGTACTTGGGAATTCCTCTACACTCTAGCAAGTTAACCCGCACAGACTTCCAGCCACTGCTAGAACGGATAAAAGGCAAAATCCAAGCATGGAGTACCCGATTTCTTTCCTACGCTGGCAGGGTTCATCTAATCTCGACGGTTATCTATGGCCTCGTCAACTTTTGGAGTTCAATCTTTGCCCTTCCGAAGCTCTTCCTCAAGCAGGTAGATGGATTATGTTCCAAATTCTTATGGAAAGGAAGTCTGAATGCCGTTGGGTCATACCGTGTAGCATGGGACAAAATCTGCTCTCCGAAAAAAGAAGGTGGTCTTGGCCTGAGAAAGCTGGAGGATTACAATACAGTCTTCCGGTTGAAGTTAATATGGATCCTGTTCACCAAATCGGGATCCTTATGGGTCGCTTGGACAAGGTATAATGTTTTCAAATCTGACAACTTCTGGACTTGTAAACTTAATGGCAGATGCTCTTGGATATTGCGGAAGCTCCTCAGCCTTAAAGATAAAGCTCGAATGTTCCTCCGAAAGGAAGTAAAGGACGGTAAATCTACAAGTTTTTGGGATGACTGCTGGACAGATTTAGGGTCATTCATTAGCCTTGCAGGGGAGGTAGGTCCACGGTTGCTTAGGATCAACCGTGAAGCCTCGGTGGCAGATGTTGTTATAGATGGAAACTGGCGGCTACCGGGCGCAAGGTCAGAAGCAATCCAGGCGATCCAAATCCAGCTGGCAGCCATATCTCCTCCAACGGAATCTGATGGTCAAGACATCACACTGTGGAAGCAGAAGGCGGACGTTTTCAAGGCGATGTTCTCTACCGCAGCAACATGGGAGCTGATCAGAATGAGAGGACCACAGGTGGAATGGTACAAGAATGTCTGGCTAAAGCATACGACCCCACGACTAGCGATGCTACACTGGCAGGTGCTGCTTCGGAGGCTGCCGACGAAGGACAGGTTGTTACGATGGGGCTATCAGGTTGACCCGATTTGTTGCTTATGTAGCCAGGATGTGGAGACTCATGGACACCTCTTCTTTGCCTGTCCGTTTAGCAAGGCATTATGGGAATTTTTTGCAGAATGTTGTTGGCCGCAACCTCCATCTGACATCTTATTGTGCCACCAATGGCAGAACTCGCAGCATGATGCTAGCCATAATAGGCTGGTGTTGTCCAAACTCTTACTCCACCAAGTCGTTGACATGGTGTGGAATGAGCGTAACTCACGGATATTCAAGCAGAAGTCGAAGCCGTTACAGGTTATGCGTGCCAAGTTGGATCGCAGGATTCGAACGTTATTGCTGTCACAACAGCTAAGGAACGTCCCAGCAACAAAGAACTTTCTTGAGGATTGGTATTTTCTAACCGGAGACCGTCGTTAGAGTTATGCTGTTCCATTAACCATTTTGCCCACATGAATATGGGAGTCCACTGTTTTTTGTAATTGCTTCTTTTTGTACACAAACTAAGTGTATGTGTTAAATGATATTAATGAGAAAACTCTCTCATTTCTATGAAATGTAAAATATTCCTAGGGTAACTTTTGCCCATAACTTATATTTTAATAATTTTCATGATACTATGTACCTTGGATTTCATTAATACAAGCACCCCTTACCAAATTGTTTTTTTTTTAACAATGTTTAGTATTATACACATCAAAAAAATGTTCTCCAATATGCAGGGGTAATGAATTTTTTTTTTTAAGTTGACCCCTTAGTCAAGCTCATGCTCTTGTCTAATCTTTTTCTAATGTATTGTTCAATTACTGATATAAGGTATGCGTGAAAAAATTATGGATGAAAAAAAACTCGAAATTCGAATATTAGATTCGACTCGTAGGTCGGATATTCAGAAATTCTGGTATTTTGAAAATTTAATAAGATGATACGGTAATAATTTTATAAAAAAATTCAAAATTTGAATTCAAGTTCAAGTAATAAAATATGAGAAGAGTAAGTATCCGTGGGTATATGAGTAATAATAAATTTATAATTTTACATTGAGAACCCAATGTTATATATATAAAATTGAATCCGGGTTTATGTGAAAAAATCAAAACGAGACTAACACATGAAAATCTAATATGTGGAAGATTCTAAAAAACTTTAAATACAAATTTGTAAAATATTGAATATTTATTGTTAGTTAATATAACAAAATAAATTATAATAAAATCTATAGAAAATCAATCATTTATGATAGATTGATATCAATAATAATATCATTTTTTTGTTTTAATGTGAATGTACATTTACAAAAATCAGTTTGTTACATCCAGGACATTAATGCCTGCAAGCAAAATATTACAACGAATTTCCATCATAAGTGGTCAAAATAAAAAAGACATTACAAGAACAAGAATCAACGATCACTCCACATTAGTCGAGTTTTGACGCATAAGAAAATATCAATTCTCCAATAGTGAGCATGTTCTTCTATGGTGCTGCAACTTGATTGAGAGTACAACGTCTTGCATCGCCTTATCAAGTTTCCATCTGATATCTCAGCGAAATTCGACTCATTCTTGAATATACAGTTGTTCCTGTCCTACCAAATAAATGTAATGTCACTTGAAAGATGAGCTTGGCAATGGTTAGTCGATCTCTTGTTGTGTTATGTGAGTTGTCCTTGATCCACACAATGCACGCATTCATCCCCATCGGCGGGTCTGGCCAACATCTTTCCGCAAAGGTAGACCATAGCGCAATGCTATAAGGACAGTGTAAAAAAAGGTGTTGGTGAATTCCTTCAATATTTCCGCAAAGGCAGCAAGTTGGGTCGACAATAATATCATAATCAAACCTAGTAGATTTTATCATTAATAAAGGGATACTCTGCCCTCTAAAATAAATATGAGTCTTAAATTAGCTCATTTGACATGGAAAAAAAAAAGAAAAAACTTTCACATAATTCTCTCTCTACTCATATATATCTCTAAGTTTGCTAACTTGGTATTCGAGAAAAGTTATTCTGAACATGCTGCTGTTGTATCTTAAAAACTCACTGTCCTCTAATAACATCGAAACTTTAGAGGTGATTGTCAATATAATTTTTAAAAATTGTGTTTCACATACCTTGACAACATTAATGTTTTACTATATGTATTTGTTCGAAATCATTTTTTTATCAGAAAAACTGTAAGTAGAAGTGACATGTTTTTTTATTTGGTTAAGATTGATGTTGATTGTTTCAATCATCAACGTTCTGATCAAAGCCAGAAATGCTTGTTTTCTTAATTAGTTTGTGCATTTCTTTACCAGATATTTGCTTTGCTTCACACCTTGGTTATGTTGTTTCCTTATTTATTGTTTTAGATTGTTAAAAATACATTTAGCATTCTTTAGAGTTTACAGATTTAGCCACTGACAGGATGTAGACATCTTCATCATAGGCAATTCCTTTACCCTTATCTTTCGGTTGCAGAATTTGTTTTTCCGGTGAACTAGGCGGTTCTTCTGGAACAGTCAATGCCCATGCATTTTCTTCTTTAGCCCGTTCTGGCTTCAGTTCCAGCTTGAATTCAATGTCCTCATCTCCTATATGCATCTCGATGCATCCTTTCCGGACATGAATTACGACATCGACAATGTTGAGGAATGAACGTCCTAAGATGACTGATTCGTCATTTCTGTTGTCCATATCAGTAACCACGAAATCGATCGAAACTTAGATATTTCCAACCTTAAGTGGTACAACCTCTAAAGTTCCCAGAGGGGCATTCACTGACTTGTTTGTCAGCTGCAAGATCATTTTAGTGGGCTCTAGTTCACCCAAATCCAACTTATCATATGTGGCCTTTGGTAATAGAGTCACACTCGCTCCAAAGTCGCACAGTGCGCTAGGCATAGAGACACTGCCCAATTGGCAGGATAGAGAGACTTCTTGGATCTGCCATCTTGGCTGGTAGGTCCTATTGCAGTATAGCACTTACTGCATTCAGTTGTCAGGATTAATGGTTCCTCTTCTATTCTTCTTAACGAGTGAGTCTTTAAGAAACTTCTCGTAAGATGGTGTTTGCGCTATAGCTTCTTGTAGAGGCTGGACAATTTTCATCTTTTCCCACATATCAGCAAATTTCGTGAACTCACCGTCAACTGGCGGAGTACGTTGCAATCGCTGCGAGAACGGCATAGGAGGTGGTCGGGAGGTGATGGAACGTATACGTCCTCCGGTTCCTCTTCGGTTAGATTCCTTTGCTTCTCTAAATAGGCTCTCCTTTGTTCAGCAAGGATTCTCCTCGTTCCGTAAATTTCGTTGCCATTCACATAGAAGACAACGATACATTGCTCACGAGGGTTTGGTTCAGGTTTATCAGGTAGTGTGCCATGCGTTCTGCTAGGCTTAGCTGCGAGTTAAGCTACCTGGTTGTCTAAAAGCTTGACATGGGTCTCTATCCCTTGGATTTGCTTCTTTAGATCACTTTGTTCGATGACCATCCCTTGCATCGTGTTGTTCATAGATGATTGCCCTTGCAAGAGCGTCTCGAGCATTAACTTTATATCGGGGGGTCTGATCCAATTTTTGCTGAGGTTGTTGTTGTTGCTGACCTCTAAACTGTTGGTTCCCTTGATACCCTCGGTATTCTTAACAGTTGTTGAGGTCTCTGTTGGAAAGTTTGACCTTGGAATGGTCTCGAGTTTTGGAACGCTCGGTTCCTGTTCTCTTGAGGAACATTTTGGTAATTATTGCTCTTGTAAGAGAATTTAGGATGGTTACTCCCACCAGGGTTGTAGGTGTTGGAATAAGAATTGTTAGCAGCATATTAACGTCCTCAACCCCTTATTCTTGAGAGAACATCGACTAGTCTCCATTGAACTGATCTGATGTTTTGCCTGAGGCGTTACGATTCAATGAATAGACCTGCATCTTCAGTTCTGCTAATTCGACTTTCAGAGCCTATACTTCACTAACATTCTCTACATTACACCTTTTTCTCGAGAACTCAATTGGAGTGGTTCTATTGCTAGCCGTACGTTCGATTAGTTCTTCCAACTCATCAGAGATTAGCTTTTGAAGGCTACCTCCGCTGGCACAGCTAATGTAGAACCTTATCTCATCCCTCAATCCGTTCAAGAAACTTAACAAAAGGTAGTATCTGTCGAAGTTATGATGAGGGCATGCTCTTCGATATTCCTTGAATCGTTCCCATGCTTCACTCAAGGATTCTCCATGTTCTTGCGAGAAGGAGTTAATCTTGTTCTTCGCAAGTTGAGTCTTATGAGCAGGAAAAAATCGGTTCATGAACTTGTCAGCAAGTTGATCCCATGTATGGATCAAATCTGCTAGCAGAGCATAGAGCCATTCGAGTGTTTTTCTTGATAAAGAGAAGGGGAAACCAAGAAGTGGCACTTCCTCAGTCGAAACTTCGTTCGCTACTCTAACAGACTGACACAGAGATTTAAACAGAGTTCGATGCAAGTTGGGGTCCTCGGTAGAGTTACCTCTTAAAGCACTCCCGTATAGCATCTGGATAAAAGCAGGTTGTAGATCGAGGCGAGTTCGCTTGTTTCCCGGTCTACGAATGCAAGAAAATAGTGAAGTGTGCTTTGGAGCAGTGTAATCTCCAAAAGTAAGCACTTCATTTCGCTCGACTCCTCTCAGTGGAGCAGCGTTATGCGCAGGATAGTCGTCAACATTTATGTTGTCTTCTATTGTTCCAATCTCCTTCATTGCCTTAAGAGTTGAAAAGTTCTTACTATTTCTGGTTCAAGAGGAAATAGAGTTTGACTTCCATGGCTCCTGGTCATAAACCGAAGGAATCAAAGTTCTGATTCCCGAAAGAAGGGAATCTGATGGTGGTGGAAAGAAAGTAGATGATGGTGGAAAACTAGAATCTAAACTGGCACCAAGACTGAATCTCAGTCCCCGGAAACGGTGCCAAAAAACTTGATCGTGCCAATCTAGGTAAATGGATGGTCAAGTAATAAAATCTAGACTAAGTCGATTCCGCAAGGTATGGATTCGATGTAGTACCAGGGTCACAGAGACCGAGAGGTGATGGTGTCGATGGTGATCCTAGAGAAGGTCGAGAGCAAAATAGTTTGTTGGTTGGTTAGGGAAAACAAAAATTAAAGACACTGTAGGTTCGAGGGTTCACCGATGCTACGTACTATCTAAATAGATATGGTTGGTTTGCATTCTAAGGTCGATTCAGAAAACTCAGGCCTCTATTCTAGAACGCATCCGGTCAGGAATCTTCATTCTCTAACTAACGTTTTCCCATCACCTTTCACATCTTTAGGTTTACGTTAGACGCATTAACATCTGCTATCATAGTTCCTAGGTCGAATTAAGAATTCCTTATCAAGTCCAATCTATGCGTTTAAAATTAATAATTGAACCTATCTTATGAACGAATTTCGTTATTAATTAACTAATCCAAGTTCAATTCTATAGGGTGATCATTCCTAAGAAAGCATTATGTTCAATTCATAAAACCAGATCTAACTTAGACATGCATCAACCGTTTAAACACATTGATAATTTTGTAACATGGCTAGACTCCCTAGCCTATAGCAAGTAAACTACTCAACATCATGGAGGAAAGCGAAGTAGACATGAATTCATACAACATTTCAATAGAAAAAGGAATAGAAGACTTATAGTATAGAGAATCAATCCTTGAATAATGAAATATAACAATCTCCACACCAATTCGTACCCTAAAATGTCAAGAACCAAAAAATATCGAAAGTATTGAAAAGTACGAAAATGTGCGAACTCTCTCTCGGTTTACGTGTGATCTTTTTTATAGAAATATCGAAATATCGATATTAGAAACCTCAAAATCGATGTTTTCTAACATCGATATTCTCCCAAAGTGCCTTATCTCGATGTTATGAAAGGTCGATAACGAAGTTGAAAAAGGTCAATATCGGTCCAGCTCAGATCTCGAGGCGGAAACGTCTAGGTCACAAAATCTAAAAGTCTGATCTCGAGGTTACTCAAAAGGTCGATATCAATGTTGAGGAACATCGATATTGATGTTATAAAACGTCGATATCGATGTTATAAAACGTCGATATCGATGTTCTCAACATTGAGATTCTCCCTTTTTCGCTTCGAAGTCCAGTTCTCGCTCGATGACATGTCCATGGCCTTCCTTAGCTTATCCTGATCGTCCACTTGGTCTAACTAAGCTCCAAAAACACTGTTTTAGCTTCGTTTCCATCCGATTATGCGAATATTCTTGAAATTACACAAAAGAGCAAAAAACGATATTTGTGTACAAAATGGAGCCTAAATGCTAGATTTGTACGGAAAAGAGAGGTGAAACGCAACTAAAACCATAGAAAAGCGACAAAAGCCGATGTCATCAGACTTCTGCCGATCTTTCGTCGTCTTCAGGTGGACGCGAATCCTCCATATAACCTCCGCGGTACAATCTCCGGCCCAAACTCTCAGCGCTCTCTGATCTCTCTAATACCCTGAAAACCGAACGAATATTTAATTATTATCGAGATAAATAATTATTCGGACAATCGCGTTATCATAAAAAATGGCTTGTACAATAGCGGGAAAAGGCATGGGAACCGTCACACGTAGAAAAATGGGGAAAACAGAGAAGAAATAAGAAGAAAAGTCAGGTCTAGGTCGGGATAACACACAGTTCGAATGGAGTGGAAACACAGTCCGAACGGACTGAGAACAAAGTCCGAACGGACCTGAGGCACACTGAATGGACCACGAGTGTGCGAAGAAATGGGCCAAACCTGAGTCTAGATCGTATGGTCCAAAAAGTAGTCTGAAAGGCTTGATGACCCAGCGCAACTTGCGCAAATTTCCGACTTGCAGCCTGTTGGCCGCCCTTTCTCTGTAGAAACAGGACCCGCCAACATCAAATCACCACCCATTCACGTCAGGGCATTGCAGACTCGACCTTGGGCCAGGGCTTGAGCCTATTTGCTCTCTCACACGCGACATAAACACTCCATAAGTTTGGCACTTAGCCATTTGCACTGAGAAAATTGCAGAAAAGTGAAAGGAGAGAGAGAGAGAGTGGGAGAAGGGAGAAGAGCCAGAGCAAGGGGAGTCGAGAACACAAAGGGGGACATCTCTAGAGTGTCTGGAAGAGGTATTCGACGAGAAGCAGCGCGGAAAACGATCTCAAACTTGGCCAAAACTGAATCTGAGTCAAGAACAAGGTGAGTGGCTTGAGTTGGATCTGTGTGAGCTCGTTTTCATCGTGTTATTGTGTTATTCCGATGATTTATTGCTGGAAGAGATAGAGTATGTTTCAATGAACATTTAGCAATAAAGTGAAGTAATTTGGTTAAGAAATGAGCGAGAAACGATCAAACGAAGTCGAGTCACGAAAGCTGTTTCGCGAGGAAGACGAAGTGCAGGGCCCAGTCCAAACGAACGGAGGTCCCGGTCTGAACAAACGGAGGTCCCAGTCCGAACAGACTGAAGATCCTAGTTCGGATGAACAAACGGTCCGATCTGGACAGACCGGAAGATGTAGTCCGAGGGACTGACACCTAGTTTGAACGGACTGAGACGGAGTAGACCGAGACAAGACTAAAAGAACGAGATGGAGGCCAATAGTAACCTAGACCGTACAGACCAGATAGTAGTCCGACCGGTCCAGAGCTCGAAACCCACTCTTCAATGAATTTTTGAGTTCCACGCATGGTGAGATGTGCGATCCAACTTTTGGGAGACTTGTGCGTATTTGTTAAGTTGGGTAGCTTGCATGGCGTTAAGCGGTAGATCGGTAGGTGCCGAATACCGTGATGCGCGTGATTGTACCAGGGATATAGATGTACGATGATTGCCATATCCGCAGCTCACTCGTGCGATGGAGTGAAACATGATTGTGTTTGTGATATAGTCGTGTGTGATACGACGGCCAACATCATGGACTTGACGGGTGTGGAGGCGCCCCTAGTTATGCTGACTTGACTAGGGCTATGGCTAGACCCTGTGGTGGATTCCATATGGTATGATTATACTTTTGTTATGTCATGGACTTGACATCGGTAGTCACGAGATGTGACCAATGCGTGAGGCGCATAGTCGCATGCGATACGGTGGTCAACGTCACTCGAGTGATGGGCGGGTGATGCCCTCCTAGTCATGTTGACTTGACTAGAATCTATGGCTAAACCCTATGGTGGACTCCATACGGGTGTGATTTTGAATGATATGATTGTGATGGATGTTGCATGATGATACATATTATTTATTGTTTTCTTGCGGTTTGCGAATTATCGTTTTAAAACCGTTCTTGCTCAGAACAAGACTACTGGGTTTAACCCGGGCTACTCACTGAGCAGTTGTGCTTAGCCCTCATGGTTTTATCTTTTCAGATCACGAGGAGTACGCCTAGAGCACTCGAATGATGACGACCCAAGAGAGGCAGCATCGTGTACGGTTGTATTATTACTATTTGGACATGTGTTGTTTTGCGATATTGATGGCGTGTTGTATTTTCTGTTGCTTACTCTATTTGGAAAAAAATATTTTTGGATTTTGTATTTTTGCTTCCGCGATTTATTATTTTATTATCGTAATTGTTCATGTGGCATAACCTGTATACTGTATAAGGGTTACGAGTGTCATAAATTGGTATCAGAGTCACGTTCTTTTCTCGAGAAGGAATCGTGCTCATTACCCAACAGTTTCTACGAAAAATGTTTTCAAATCATGTCCAAGAAAATCCTCACGTGTCGAGATCCGTACATTGATGATGCAGTTATCGGTCATTAGTTACTAAACAATATTAAATGTGGTGCAGTGAAATAGCGCCACGACGTGCTAGGCTTGCAGGAGAGCTGATGACATTCCCGATCAGGCTCCACAGCCTAACCCGGGATACGAGGGATGGAGGGATGTGTTTCGTCAGTTCCAGGAGGCAGTGTGGCAGCACCTGGCAGCCCACGCCCCACCACCACCCCGATGAGAGATCCGGAGCCAAGGGAGGAGGACCTACACCAGCCGCCGATACGTGTTGCGACGGCAGAATACCTCCCCATCATCAAGGAGCTGTGGGCGATGCATACTCCCCGATTCGAGGGATCACTGAGGCCGGAAGCTGCTGAGGAGTGGCTCACCCAGATCACTCAAGATTTGGAGTATTTGCTATGATAGCGAGTCATCATCTGTCGGGCTAGGCTCAACATTGGTGGGCGAAAGTGATGCAGGAGGCACTGGCAGACAACACTTCACATGGGGGAAGTTCAGACATGAGTTCGAGGTGAAATACTAGGCGGACATGACTGTCAGTGAGTACGAGGCGGAGTTCACCCGACTACTGAGGTACAGGGGCATCTGGTGCCCACCGAGGTATCGAAGATCCAGAAGTTCATTGCTGGACTTCGACCATACCTGCGGAGGAAGAGGTGGAGCGTGGAGAGCGGGAGAAGAAGGAAGGGAAGACCCATGAGCAGAGCCCATTCCGAAAGTTCTTCGGTACATGCTCATCCAAGAAAAACGTCCGGAACAACGACCCACGTGACAAGGGCAAGGCGCCCGCTGTTCGTGCGCCACCACCATCGACGACGAGGGGATCACTGGTCTGTTATCGATGCGACCAGCCCGGACATATTGCATCATGATAGGAGGACCGCGGGACCACCAATCCTAGCGGCGAGACCACCGGCGAGGGGTGGAGCAGTCCCGAGAGTGTATGCTCTCGGTGCCGAACAGGAGATCCAGAAGGAAGATCA